CAGGATATAGAGTATAGAGGGGTATAGGATATAGAGTACAGGATATAGAGTATAGAGGGGTATAGGATATAGAGTATAGAGGGGGTATAGGATATAGAGTACAGGATATAGAGTATAGAGGGGTATAGGATATAGAGTACAGGATATAGAGTATAGAGAGGGTATAGGATATAGAGTATAGAGAGGGTAAAGGATATAGAGGGTATAGGATATCAAGTTCAAGTTCAAGTGGAGTTTATGGTCATTTCAGTCATATACAAGTACATAGTGAAATGAAACAACGTTTCTCCAGGACCAAGGTGCTACACAAGACAAACACAGAACAACACAGAACTACAGGGACATATTTTATACATAAAGTGCACAAGTGCAAACATGTGCGGAAGCACAAGACAGAACAAGACAGTACAATGACTACAACGTCGACCAGTACGCAGTTCTGTTTAAAAGTGACCTAGTGACAATAGTGCAAATATTACAAGAGTAAATAGCTGAAATAGTGTAAACAGTATTTGTAGCAGCATAAACATGTGCAAAAACTTGCAGAGAGGATGGAGGATGCTCAGTTGTGTGTGCTTACATATGTATGTGTGTGTGTGTTCCTTCAGTCCAGTTTCTAAGTATTGAGAAGTCTGGCATGAGGGAAAAAACTGTTGCACAGTCTGGTCGTGAGGCCCGAATGCTTCGGTACCATTTGCCAGACCGCAAGAGGGTAAAGAGTGTGTGAGAGGGGTGTGTGGGGTCCACAATGCTGGTGGCTTTGCGGATGCAGCGTGAGGTGTAAATGTCTGTGATGGAGGGAAGAGAGACCCCTTCTCAGCTGTCCTCACTATCTGCTGTAGGGTCTTGCGATCCGAGATGGTGCAATTCCCAAAGCAGGCAGTGATGCAGCTGCACAGGATGCTCTCGATAGTCCCTCTGTAGAACATGGTGAGGATGGAGGGTGGGAGATGTGCTTTCCTCAGCCTTCGCAGAAAGTACAGGCGCTGCTGAGCTTTCTTTGTTATGGAACTGCTGTTGAGCGACCAGGTGAGGTTCTCCGCCAGGTGAACACCAAGAAACATGGTGCTCTTGACGATCTCCACGGAGGAGCCGCCGATGTTCAGTGGAGTGTGGTCACTCTGTGCTCTGCTGAAGTCAACAACCATCTCTTTGGTTTTGTCCACGTTCAGAGACAGGTTGTTGGCTCTGCACCAGTCGGTTAGCCGCTGCACTTCCTCTCTGTATGCTGACTCGTCGTTCTTGCTGATGAGACCCACCACGGTCGTGTCATCGGTGAACTTGATGATGTGATTGGAGCTGTGCATTGCTACACAGTCGTGAGTCAGCAGAGTGAACAGCTGTGGACTGAGCACACAGCCCTGTGGGGCCCCACTGCTCAGTGTGGTGGTGTTGGAGATGCTGTTCCCAATCCGGACTGACTGAGGTCTCCCAGTCAGGAAGTCCAGGATCCAGTTACAGAGGGAGGTGTTCAGGCCCAGCAGGTTCAGCTTTCCAATCAGGTGCTGAGGAATGATTGTGTTGAATGCTGAACTGAAGTCTATGAACAGCATTCTAACATAAGTGTCTTTATTGTCCAGGTGGGTGAGGGCCAGATGGAGGGCGGTGGTGATGGCGTCATCTGTTGAGCGGTTGGGGCGGTAAGCGAAATGCAGGGGGTCCAGTGAGGGGGGCAGCAGGGTCTTGATGTGCCTCATGACGAGCCTCTCGAAGCACTTCATGATGATGGGTGTAAGTGCAATGGGACGGTAGTCATTGAGGCAGGACACTGAAGACTTCTTTGGCACGGGGACGATGGTGGTAGCCTTGAAGCATGTCGGAACAATGGTGATGCTCAGGGAGGTGTTGAAGATGTCTGTGAAAGCATCTGCCAACTGGTCTGCACATCCCCTGAGCACCCTGCCAGGAATGTTGTTTGGTCTATTTCAAGCTCCTCAATGGATTTCGATTTTCCTCCAGGTATAAATTCAATTTCAATTCAATTCAGTTTATTTGTATAGCGCTTTTTACAATGTCATTGTCTCAAAGCAGCTTTACACAAACAAAAAAGTAAGATGAAGTGTGAGAGTGTGTCTGAAGAGCAAGCCGAGGCGACGGTGGCAAGGAAAAACTCCCTGAGATGGAGAAAGGAAGAAACCTTGAGAGGAACCAGACTCAACAG